TAATTAAATTACAGAAACTGCTTCCAGCCAAGGGGGGAGAAACCCAGGGATTAACAACTGGGGGGAGCAGTGGCAATTTATCTTTTCAGAGGGCAAAGTAAAGGAGTGGGGGGGGGGCAGCACTGTGCACAGATAAATAGAAGTTCGTGTTTAATGTTTTCATACGTGCAGTGCTGTTCCTCTGCTTTCCAGGCTGAGGCTGCAGGAGATATGGGGGTCACAGATCTCTAAAAGAACCCGAAACCCTTTTCTAATTTTTTTTTTCTTTTGCACAAATCACTATCCAAATCCCCTTCCCAAAAAAAGCTTACTGGAGGGGTCCACCCATAATTGACCCATGCTAGGGCCCTTCGCCAGGTCTGCGGAGCATGCCTCCAGCAGCTAACGGCAGGAAGCACCTTGGCACGCCGCTCTATTCAAAGCCCGAGCACAGGAAGGGTAGAGCCATTTCTCACTGACAAAGGAAAACAAGCCCCAGCTCTCAGCTCTTGGATCCAGCCGGTGGGCTACTTCACCTGCTCTGCAGATTTGACCCCAAAGGGAGCGCAGAAATCAGCCTCCAGGCTGCTGAAGATGCCAAGCGGGCATCTTCATCGCTTGCCACAGCCCCCGTCGGGCAGCGCTTTGGCTCACCCCAACGGCAACCGCAACGCAAGGCGAGCAAAAATGCACAAGTCATCCACGGATGTAGAACAACTCGGATTTAATTGCAGCCTTGGCCACAGCCGAAAGCTGCATAGCTCAGCTCTAACCTCAGCAATCGCTATCCCAAATCACGCCCCCCCACCCCAACTCCAGCCCCGAGAACGGGCTGGTTCTGGCTTTTTTCCTCTTTGCTACTGAATGTGGGTGAGCCCTTCGGAGGGAGGAGGGTTGAATTAGATCAGTCTCAAATAAGGCTGAGGTTACTTACCACCAAATAAAGCATGGTGTAGAGGGAGAACGACGCGTGCCCGGAGAAGAAGGACTTCCTGTAAAACAAAGAAGGTGCTAAGAACCAGCCGCTATATTATAACACTGTAATATTATACGCAACATAGTGACTTGCCTGTTACTACTGAGAAGGTGCCAAGGGCAGAGGGACTGCGGGAACCACAACCCCCAGCCGCCTGGGTTATGAAACCCCTGTTCGTCACCCTTCTTGTTCACGAGGGCAGAAAAGGAGTGGATGGGCAGGATGTGTGCATTGTTACTGCCTTCCTGGTCTAGCCGTGGGACAGCACGGTTACTTCCAGGACAGCCCGATAACTCATCGGCTAGCCTCAAATAACCAGGAAATCGTAAAGAAATAAAAAGCCAGCCCTTCTGCAGTTGCTTAATTGCAGTCTGCAAAATGTGCCCCTAGAAACATCAGAACTAAGGATCTGATGGATCGCACAAAGAGCATGGAAGGAACCGGCTGGCAGCTTGTCCTTGGCGGTGCTCTCTGCGAAAGCAAACCTCGCCACTCTGCTCCACGTGGAAGTCCAAACCGCTTACCATTAATTGAGCTCTCATGGTGAATTCCCACATTGAGCAACAGTTTGTGAAACAATAGTGTAGGAGTAAACAGAGAGGAAAAGAAGGATTATTCAGCAGACTTCAGCAACTCCAGGGGGAAACTGCCCAGTGCTGGTGGATGAAGTTACAGCCTTCCCAGAGAAAGAAGTATTAAAATGCTGGCAGACAAACCCTGAGAAATATTTTGTGTGACAGACCATTTTGGCAGCAGCAGCTTTTTTTTTTTTTTTTTTTTTTTTTTTGCTTCTTATACCAAAGAAAGGGCTCTCACCTGGCTTCCTGGACTTTGCTGTCACTTCCCCTACAGGTGTAGTTCTGAATGTAAACTCCCTTAGTGCAGTTGATCGTCGAGAAATCGAGATTGCAAACGTCCAGGAAATGAGGTCGCAAGCGCCCGACGGACACTTTGGCAATGTCTGTGAAGGACTGGCTGATGGCACAACCAAAAACAAAACAGCCCACTTGCTTGTACAGCGCTGCCACGTACGGGTTCCGGATGAAGGATCGTGACTTCTCCTTCAAGTAGTGGATCCGGTAGAGCTCTCCCGTTATAATCTGGTGGGGAAACACAAGATAGATGGGGCTATAGTTAGAAAGCAGGAAGGGGGCTGTGCATAACTGGTCACAGGGGACAAACGCCCAGCTGAGACAGCAAGACAAACCTCTGCCACTAAGCAAGCCAGAAGATCCCAAACTCATGCTCAAACAGGCTGGCTGATGACTTGTCGGCTTAAAGCCAGAATCGTGTCTCACACAGAAGGCAAATATCTTTCTGAACAAAACACATTTATCCATAAATCCCTTCTTGAAAGCCAGTTCAAACCAGATGAGTACAATTTGCCTGTAAAAGAGCTATGAGATGTCATTACACCTCAGGCTGGTGGTAACATCTCAGGTGCAACACTGGCTAAAACAGACAAACATGCTTCTGCAAAAGCAGGGAGCTCTGCACAAGTGGGGCTTCCCAAGGCACCTCTCTCCCCAGGCCCCTTCTTTGCCAAAGAGGCACCTGAAGAAACTGGTTTCACACTATTTGTCCATGGATTCAATACGGCCCTCGAGAATCACCTCACCAGGGCACAAAAAAAGGGGCATCCCTGCAACTGGAGAGCTGCCCCATGGACGCTGCACCTCAGTTGACCTCTCCAGATGGAGAAGACCATTGATAAACTACTCCCAGCAAGGACATCCGGCAAGAGACCTTGGACACCGCTGCTCTTCCTAACACTAAACCACCGCTGCGTCCAAGCATCCTTTTTGCGTGCGTGCACAAGGATGAGATAGAAGAACATCCTCCTTTCCTAACCGGTTGCTGCATGAAGCCAGCTGCCCGTTCCCAGCAGCATGGGAAGTAATAGGACCCCACATCAACATCCTATTTTGCACAAAAGCCTTGCCCCTTGCACTCGGGTGAAATGAAACTCGACCAAACCAGCAAAGGCTTTTGCTGTGCAACGCTCCCAGAGGCAGATCCGCAAGAGGCAGCGGCTCTGCTCTCCCTCCAGCACGGGTACACCACTCCCCACAGCCTGGTAGGGACAACCCGTTCCCTTTGCTCTTCTCGGTCCCAGGAGCTCAACTCACGAATCTACTTCCCTATTGAGGAAAGGATATTCCACGATTCGCCTTCTCGTGACCCTCCTCAGTCTCCCATTATTCACGGCCTCTCAGGAAGCAGTACCTCTTTTCAAAATTTTGTTTACGGAAAGATTCCAAGGATGAAGCTGGACTTTGTTTCCTTATGTTGCCGTATCTTTAGAGAACTGCTAATGGTGCCCCAGATCTACACCGGTGCAACGGAAATACAAATTTACCATAAAACAGATCAAGAATCAGTGTTGGTTTGGGAAGGAGGGGCCAGAGCTGCTGTGGCAAATTATTCTGGGGAAAAAAACCCAACTTCAGGGCCTTATTATCCGCCTCTCTGAAAATGACAACAGGGGAAGACACAGAAATCCCCAAGGTTTTCAGATTCTGGTCCCAAACTTGCAGTCACCAGCCCCAATGGAAACTGTGCAGAGCCTTCACAAACACCAGGTATTTCTGGGAATTTCAAGGGGTCTCGCAGTTGCTCAGCAGCAAATTATGTATTTCTCGTGCCCCTTACGGGGGTGTTGGGTTCTGACAACGTCGCCATAAATCTCCGTCATGAACCAGAGGGCTTGGCTTCTTGTAATCCTAGCTCTTAAAAGGCCGTTTAATGAAAATCAGGCTGTGAAATGAAGTCCAAATGTCTCACCTCTCCGAAAGAGGCAAAGGCTTAAATTGTTCTCTGCCGCGTTACACACCTACTTTTTGAGCTCCCGATTTACAGCTTTAGGATTTTATTCATTACGTTAAATGTTTTTATACCTGAGCCGTAAAAGGAGATGTTTTTTTTTTCTGCTGCCCCCCGGTCCCTGCCCCCTTCTCTGCTCCCGTCGAAAGGACTGTGATATGAAATTTAACTGTCAGGAAAAATGCCTTCATGTTAATCCCTTTCTGAAACAGCCAGCGATATCCCTCCCCACGTGGCAGCCCGCCAGCTGCAGGCAGGAGAGACGGCTCCCCTACCTACCTTTTTAAAAGCTTGGCACAACAGTTGGAAACTCATAAACTGGAAAAGCATGGCAATTAGACTAAGAGGAGATGAAACTGTATCATTGTTTGAACTCTCTAGTACCGCGGCTTGAAAAACAAAGGTTGACCCAAAGCAGCTGAAATTACAGCGAGGCAGGCCTTATCAGAGGGAGATACAACTACAATAATAAAAAATAAAGACCAAGCCAGAGCTTCTACTAGCATGTTTTGCACAGAAATGTGCTGGGTGGCTGCGCTGTCACCCAAGGTTTGCAAGTCCCAGCTAAGATCCGCTCCTGGGAGGCTGGTCCGGACCAAGCGTGGTCCGGGGACCTGTAGCTATCCTGATCCAGAGTCCTTTTAATCCTTGCAAACTCCAAAGACCATGCAGACAACAGTTTATCTCCATTTTGAACTATCTTCAAATACAGCCAGGAAATATATTTGCATGAGAGAGGCCAGTCATCCCGTGCGGCTGCCGATCTCGCGTCTCTCGGGGCTTGCTGGTGTATCTGGCGCAGCACAAGCATCCCTGTGGGCTGCCACCATGGGCACCGAGAAGGACGTACAGACGCCCACCGCAGCCTCCCGAAAGCTCGGGTGCCTGACTTCAGGCAGGGAAGAGCTGCAAGGCTCAAAACGCAGGGCTTTTGCCAAGGGAAAAAAGAGCTGAATCAAAGACGGCATCTGAAACCTGCCCATGTTATTCAGAGTTCCCAAATAGATCCACTGAAACCCAAGGCTCTCGGCTGGTGAAAGACACGACCATTTTATACAGGGCCCGACAAAAGTCTGGGGATTAATATTTTTCTCTCCCTGCTGGTGGTCTTGGTAATTGCACACATGTAGCAGATTGTAAATTGGAGACTTCATTCCCTCACTAATATGCTGCTGGGCAGCCATCAGCCCTCCCCGCTTAGCTAAAACCATGGCTCAACCTTAATGAGAAGCCAAAATGGGGTAAACTTGGGTTTTGGCAATGCTGCCCCTGATAAAGCATGGCAGGGAAAAACTAATGCAGCACAGATGGGCACGAACTAAAAATGCATTCTGAAAAAGCAAGTCTTAAAGATATTATGCTCTTCTTCTGCCTTTTGTCTTTGGCAAGTCATTTGCCTGGGACGTATGCAGTGTCTGTAGGAAGTGTGTAATTCCCAGAGGGAATTGCCAGAAACACTTAAAGATGGTCATTAGCAAGAAGCCAACACCAAACTTTTCTCTGTTGACGAATGCCTTTTGCATATTTGTGGTTCTCATGCCTATTTCATCATTGTCATAAGTCATCACCAGTGATCCAATTAGCCTGTAATTAGTTTTCCAATCTTTCTAATCGGTTATAAAAAAAATTCAGCAGGTCTAATCACATAGAAGTGTATCGCCTTTAACTGTAAAATATTCAGCTAATCCAGTTATGTAACTTTGATCATCTAGGAAATTCACTTTTCTGGGTGTTTTTCTGTACACTTTCACGATCTGTCAAAAACACAAACCTGGGCCTGAGCAGCAGCAACATGGATGAAGAGGCTCAGGAAGCGGAGAAGAGCACCTTCCACCCTGAGGTCATGGGTCCAGACCCAAACCCTAGCTGGAAAAACCTGGCGGTCGCTACCATCCCCAGGTTGTTCAGCAGCCAATGTGCAAATATGACTGTGGGGGCTTGAGATCAGAGGGTGCAACACAGCAGGATGGCAGAAAGCTCTTCAGGGATCTGCACAGAGGCTGAGCTGTGGTCTTGCACGTAGGGCGCACTGGAGGCAGCAATGGCTCCTCTACATGGCTAGGCCAGGAGCTGGCCCGTTTGCTCTCCACCATGAGCTTACAAGCTGGTGAGTGTGCAAAAACCAACGATCCAACAGCCATGGCCTTCCTGGGGACAGTCCTCCTTGGTGCCTCAGATGGTCACATTAAACATCTCCCAACAGCAGAAGCATTTCAGAAAGACTGAGAGCAGAAAGCCCAGGGGCAGGAGCCGCTTAAGGGTCAGCTGCATGCATAATTGCAAAGAGGGAAATTTGCCTTAAATCAGTAAATATGTAGGTATGAAAAACAAATGCATATCCCCTTATGCTCTGGTAGAGCAAAGGTCTTAGCCTCTGATGTTTACTTAACAAGAACTCTCGATGTCTTCGAGCCATTTAAAACATGACCTGGACCTTTTACTCTGGCCTAGACTGCCAATGACGCCATTTAAAGCAAGGGTGTGAAATTTTGGCTTCACCGTCCAAAATCCCATCTCCCCGAAAGTCCTCATACTGCTGTCTTGCCTTTCAAAGGCAAACGTTTTGAGTGAAAGGAGAGGAATTAGTGCTTTGTGGATTTGGAAGGAATTCCTATTATGCTACAATAATTCTGGTATCTGGGTTACATCTGAAAAAGAGGTCAGACTGACTTGAATTTTCCAAATATCCTGCCATAGCAAAGAAATCTGTTCCTTCAGTTCCTTGTGAGCTGTTTGTATCACTCAACAGCAAATAACCGAGCTTTTGAATTTACCTTATTAAGTTACATTTGTTGTGGGCACAGCGAAACCAGTGCAGAAACATCTAACTCTTTGAGGGATTTTCTTTTTCTTTTAATTGACCTGCTATTTCATGGTAGAAAGCTGACGGATCCAATAGGCAGCTGATTATGTTTCCAGCTTCAGTTCCAACTCCTGTATTTGCCGCTGCCTCATTACTGATCAGAAGCCCACTCTGCATGGAGCCACAATGACGACAGGTCAGGCAGTAATGCGAAAATGAGAGGCTTTTTCATTTTATTTTTATGGCTTTTCCACACTCAGGGGTAATTCACCTGCAGGGTAAAAATTCTTCTGTTTATAGATTTGGGGGTTTTGTCGCCTGTCGGGGTTTGTTTGGAGGAGGGAAGGGGAAAAGGGCAATGCAGTGTCGGGGACCGCTTTTACTAAGTGCATATATCGGGCCAGGAAACCACGTGGAGATCAATGCAAGCTGACAACTGCACTGCTCCGCAAACCCACAGGCCATTTCTCCAGAAATCAAAAAGACAAAGCCCAAAAGGCAGAGGAGGAATCGGCCCCTGGGTTTGGTAGACCAAAGCGCTCCCGTGCTGCAGAGATGCGTTGGGCTCCCTGGAAAACCCCAGCAGCTGCCGTCTGCGCTCCCGGGCGCTCGTGCACCCACCCACGCCGGCCACCTGCATCCTGTGACACCCCGGAGCTCGAGCTGCCCGTGGGCAGAGCGACGGCTGCCCATGGCACCCGAAACCGTGCAGCAAGCAGGGGCATCGCTGCTGTACAGGCACGCAGGCTGAGCGAGGGGAACGCGTCTGGGCTATTTACGGCTCAAATCAGCAACGCGGGTGTGATAGGGTATTGCCAATGCGGACACCGTGCTGTGCTAAGATAGCTATTGGCTATGACATTGCTCCTACAAGAAAAGATGAAAGCATAGAGGGGAAAAGAAGTGCTTCTGACTGCTACGTTCCTAGGGGAAACAAGAGACAGGCAGCTTTGACGGTGTCTTTCAGAAAACACCTGAGCTGTACTGGCAGCAGGTGGGAAGGGAAACGTAGGTACTTTTCATGAAGCAACTCTGGGGAATTTCATCTTTTGATGGAAGTGTTTCAACAACATGCAGAAGACAGGTCTTTCACTCTGCTGAAGTATGGGATGTATGTCAGTGCAAAGCCACCTTTTTAAAACCCAAGTGGGGCTGAAGGCCTGGGCCTGTCTCCCATCACAGCTCAGAGCACCCATCAGTTAAGTCAGCCCAGCCAGCAATGGCGTGCCAAAGTCTACAGCTGCGCAGAGGATGAAAGCGGTGCTGCAGAGCCAGGTACGTATCGACCGAGACGGCCCTCGCCACGGGTGTCCCCAGAAGGGCTGCTGCACTCTCAGCACAAGGGCAGTGATGGGTCTGCCACACTCAGGAGGGTTACTGGGCTTATTTTTCAACTGCAGACTGACCTTCACCTCCTGATATCATTTCAGCGTTTGCTGAGACTGGGACAGAGCCCTATCCAGCTATCTTCACCAACGCTCAGGTACCCGACCAGTGGGCGATGTGGCCGCCTGCCTGTGCATTTTCATAAATAGGGAACATTAGGAAATGCCTTCTCAGGGTCATTGACTGAATTCAGCTTTTGGGCTGAAATATAAGGCTCTCGCCATACAATCATTTCCCAGCATGGCTCTAGGAACCCTGGCAGGAAAAAAGAAATGAGAAAACACTGGGAAGGTGGCATATTAGCTACTGCTTTTTACATTAGGCCTCTGGGAATATGCCCCCCCCGGAAAGTTTGAACTGCCCTTATAAGTATGGCTGTAATATACTATATCTTAAAATCTAACACTAACCTGTGAAACTTTTTCAGGCATTGGTTAGTTGAAAAGATGTGTCTTTTTTTTAAAGCCTTATAAAATAGGCAAATAACAGGAGTTATTTGAATAGGGACAATCCATGCCAAGTCCTTACTGACGCTCAAGCCTTTTTGCTTCTATGCTGAATTATTACTGGAGGGTGAAAAAGCTCCTGTATCGTAGAGCTCCCAGACTTGCCCAAACAGCTTTGGGCCTGTTTGTGCGCTTCAGGAGTAATCTCATTCCTTCCGTCACAAGCTTTCACTAGCAAATATTTACAGCTTTGTGCTTAGGCGGAAGTCAGATAATAACACGGGCGGTGTACACCTCTGTAGACACATTAGCAAGACGGTTAAACTCCCAAGGCAGACAGTCTGATAGAGAATAGACTACTCCACCATCCCACTCTACTTTCCATTAAAGCCAGTGAAAACTTTGACTTCAAGAGGAGCTTAATGGCATCCAGGCCTTTTAGCAGCTCTCCTTTGACTACCCAAGTACAGGACTGTACTTGGCTCTGCTGGGGCATCTGAGCTAGGGAAAGTCTCCTGCAGCGATCAGAAGTAATCAGTCACCCTGCACTGCAACAAGTTTCTCATCACCAGTTCATCACACAGGAATGAAAGAGCCTCGGGACCACCTCTGGCTGGTGACTTGATCAACTAAGGTAGAGGTGGAAAGCTTTATGCCTTATGGTTGACCCCGAAGTCATCCTTTCCTGGGGTTGACATGGGGCTTTTCAGTTGTTCAAAGCATAGACCTAATAAATCCTTACAAATGCACGCTGGGGAAGAACACTTCAAAGGCAGTGCTTTGGCACAGGTTGCCCAGCTGCCTGCGTTTCGGGGATCTGGGGAAGCCCACATTGATGCTGGAGGCTAGGGAGCAGACAAAAAGACATTGGAGATGCCCAGGAGAGGTGGATTCGGAGGGAGTACTTACAGCGAGGATGGTAATGAGGATGCCCGCAGCACACAGCACCGCATCGTTGATCGTCTCCATCGTTTTCAGAGGGTACTTGATACTGTCATCATCGCAGTAAAAGCCCCGCTGGTAGGGTTGGATTGTGCTCGTTTCAATGATCAGGAAGGGCAATCCAGCTAGAAAAAAGGGGAGACAAGAACAAAACAGATCAGTGACACAGGTAAATATGAACAACCTCCAGCAGAAAAAAAAAAAAACTAACTAGAAAAACCCTTGCAAACAAGGTTCCTCAGGCTTTTCTTTTCATATTGATATCTTTCCAAAGGGAATAGCATTGAGGTTTGTTTTTCCAAGTTTCTCTTGCAGGGGAAAAAGGATCTCCTCTGTTATGGTTATTGGATGTCTGCACTGCCTGGTTTGAGTTAAGCTTTGTGCATTGCAAATATTAACTTACAGGAACGGACATCAAAAGCAGTCCCTCTGCAAAAAGTCATGAAAACGAATACGGCACTTTTCTCTGCAGAGGACTTGACGCTTTGAGTCCAGCGGGGCTGCAGGAGCACGAGCTGGGTACGTAAACAGCAAACTATCAAGTGCCGGGCCAGCTTCTCCTACCTGAATGGCCCAGCTAAACTCACATCACATTACTTTAACACCTCTGAACCCTTTCCCTGCTCCCTCCTCTCTGTACTTACAGTGTGCGTATATATTTCGATCTTAAGGGAATTCTAATGCCGTAAGGCTACGAGCTATAAACACCAGCAGAACAACTGCTCTTGACCTATTTGCCCAAATGTGAGCTGAGCGTGCTCTCTGTCAGCCCATCCACTGTAACTACTGAAACCGCGCTAGAGTTCGTTTGGCTCCTATCGGGTTAAGACCATGTGAAATCTGTTTCAAAACACTGTGTGTTGACTTCGTGCACCAGGGACCTTCATTTCCACACCTCGGCGGGAACTTTGCACCAGCCACAGAGCAGAGGTGGCCACTGGTTAGGACACGCTATGGAGGGGACACTCCATCTTCCTCTGTTTTGGAGAAATACAGCATTGCCTCCAGCTTAGAAGAGCAGCACTGGGGTATTTTCCTGCACGATGTTCCCTTGAGCCGGGCACACGCATGCTCACTGCCTCTCTTTCCCCATCCGTCTTTGCTGCCAGGCTCATTGCCAAGAGGAGCGGTACGTCCCCACCAAAACAATCCCCCAAAACTCTCCGAAACCTATTCGCAAGTCACTACTTAGAGGAAACTCTCCCCCTACTTGTGCAATGAAACGCCGGTAAGGGGAAAACAAGCAAACCAAAGCAGCGCACGCTCTACAGCAACAGCACGCGAAGGCCTGCGCCGAGACAGAACACACAAAACACAAGTCACGTTGGCTCGAAAATACAGGGGAATCTCATTTAGGTGAGCAAATCAGAGCAGCTCACGCTCTCACTTGGCCAAAACAACAGGTCTCACACCCAGATTTTACAAAAAGCGCTAGGGAATATTGTTCGACCACTAATTTGCTTAAGCATCTGTGGTTTTGTTTACACAGCTAGAGCGCTACGAGATCAGAGTTTTTCTCTTTTACAATTACAAGTGACATGCTGCTAGGCTTTGTGAATTTGCCACGGTGTATTTTTAGTGATCAGGATCAGCAATACCTAATTAGCAAAGGTATCATCCAGGGAGTTAAAAAACTAAGTGTCATCAAAACAATATTCCCCGTCTGCATGCAAACAAGTTTTTGCATTTTATTTTGTGTAAACCATTTTGGCTCCTTTTGCTGCACTTTTAATAGGATTTTCTAATCCAGGATTACTAGTTTTGTTGTTATCCATCTGCCCCTCCACCCAGATGAGCAGAGATACCTCATGCAGACGTGAACTCTCCCCCCGGTTAGTACCTGATCTGCTGGAGATACTTCTGTAACGAATCTAGAAACGGGTTAATTATAAGCATTCAATCCCGCACTGCTCGGAGGGGCAGCTCGGTTCACAACACACACGTGAAGCCGAATAAAGGTTTCGGAGCTGCCTGCTCCACTCAGATTTTGTAAATAAAATCAGACATCTCGTGTGAATCCAGTTGATCTTCATTCCACTATTTAACCGTTTTGATACGGAGCCAGTTTGGCCCTGAAAAGTGCCTCTTATGCCAGCAATATGATATTAATAGGCCACTTAAAAAATCCTTAGCTTCCCAGTGAAAAATTGCAGTAGAAAAGCTAATGCAGCTCGGTGCGATCCAATTTCACATCCACTTGAAGCGGCAGCGTAACGGTTGAACTTGGGGAGTAGACATGCCACGGTTACGTGGCTTATTGTTATTTCTCCAGTTCCTCTTGTTAATAGCTTTCACATGACAGGTCTGTAAAACACATGTTCCCACAGACAATAAAATACATCTGAAAGCTAAAACTAGCTTTAGGAAAAAAAAAAAAGACAATAGTGTTCCTATCTATTATGTGAACCCAGGAATAATAAAGATTTGTTTTCCCTTCATTCATTGAACAGCATGGGGTAGTATTTCCGCGTTTCAATTATATGTACGATTGCCACAGCTATAATAAGAGTGCGACTGACCTATATGGTACACATTTTCTTAAAGTGCACATAGGCATCATTTAGAAAATCCAACGGTTTTGTTTTCTCTCCTACAAACTTGTGGTTTAGTGGGATATTGCCAATCGAGTCTTGACATTTTTCCAGCAAAACAGTAACCTCAGATTCCCTTTTTTTTTTTCTTCCTCCTTCCCTCTCCCTTTTTTTAACATGAGAAACATAAACATACTCTCCATAGCTGAACGGATATTACTTAGAAGACATAACAGGCCCCCGATTCTGAGGCCTGGGTGAGAGGCTGCTCTTCCAGCTGCAATTACCCATGTGACAGACAGCCCCGGTCCACACCGAACCGTACACCGCGCTGAAGATGGCTCTTCTTCCAAGAGATTATTTCTTGGAACATAGGTTGTCTAAGTGACTAGGTCACCACCCACATTTTTTTGGCAACGGGGCTCCAACACGGAGAAGGCTGCATTGGTGCCAAAAGGCATCCAGAGAATGGGTTTTGCAGAAGACACTCCAGAGGGAAGTCTGGAAGAACACGGAAAATTAAATGCGGAGAGAGATGCCTTTGGGATCCCTAAGCAAAACACCACGGAGACGATATTTACACTGGTATATTTGCCAGAGGCAAAGGTATCCGAAGGAAGGCTATAGCCTACAAACCCTTGGAAAGAAAGAGCAAGTAGCGTAGCTAGTTTGGCCTCATCACTTTTTGTGCCATAGTCTAACCCTCCGACATGGTCCTTTAACAGGCAATTCAGATTACGCATCCCTGGCTGCACTGATCTCTTTCAATTCTCCTTAATACTGATATTTCGGGGCTGAGATGTTACGCTGCAGCCTGTGGACCATACCCTAATGCATTAGCTTATCAGTATGCGACTGCTGTAACTAGCGAGCCCACTATCATCCCTGTTTCACAGATGGGGGAAACCAAAGCAGAGGACAACGAAGCGATCTGCCTTTCAGGAAGGTGAACGGAGCTGGCAATTGGACCTTTCCCAATTGCAACATCCGTCACCTTGCAAAGGACAGGTTTCTTCCCCCCCTATATAAAGGGGGATTTTTTGCTGTAACAACAGAACCAGGAAATCTCAACCACACGTTTTCATCTAACTGTGCTGTAGGAGATCAAACAGGGCTCCAAACCGTGATAGCAATCTCCCAGGGGCCGATCCTGTCCCATCCAAGCCCCCGGGAGTTTTGCCACCGGTCGCACACGGAGGGTGGCTCGAGCCCATGCACGGGGCAGGTGTGGGGACTAATGAATTCAGCGAGGCACCGCAGGACACCGCTGCGCTGTACATTGAAAAACGATGTTGCTTTTGTCAGGAGGAAGTCAAAGTGGCTTTCTGACCTCTAGCTGCTGGTGTCCTATGCTAAGATATTTCGGTGCGGGCGTTAAATTTATTTGTCTTTCCATTTAATAAAGCCATTCAAGTTTGGAAATCTAAGCGCCAAGGAAAAAAAAATACTCCTTTCCTTGTTTAGCACCTTTATCAACAAGCAATTAATAGGCAATAATCCCTGGGAAGGCCGGCAGCATGCAGGAAAACACTAAAAAACCCATCACCAAGCAAAACCACCAACAACAAAAATGTGAAAAACTCCAGCCTACTCTCTGAGCAGCTTGAAATATGCATAAAATCAAAAAGGCAGAAGAAAGGGCTCTGTGTTGGGTACAGTACTTTGAATCCCAGCGTCTTTGAAAAGTTAATGCTTGTGCAGATTTGAGGGGGAAGGGGAAAAAAAGGAGGGGGGGGGGGGAGGAGCAAAGCACACGCACCCACGAAGCACAAGCTGAAGGGCAGATTTGAAAACCAGTACTTTTTAATTCCCACCGTGACCCACCCATACAGCTCTTATCTTCCCAGCCCAAACTTCACCTTCGCATCAAATTAACCACTGCCTTTTTTTTTTTGGTATTTGGGCTTTAATTGAGGTTTTTTTCTTTTTTCTTTTTTTAAATAAATCTTTGTGTGAATCTTGCATCTTCCAGCATTGCAGGGCAGTGGGATGTTGCTGGCTATCTGAACAAAGCAATGGTAATTTCGATCCAGCACTCTGTGATGTCTTTGGCTTCCAGTGTCCAGGCCCTGGGCATGTTTTTAAGGTTTGGGTAGAACAGAGGTCTAGCTTCATAAGTGAAAAAGATTATTAAATATTTTGGCAGGGCCGAGTGGGGCATCTCATTCCTCATTCAGGGCACATTGTGTAAATATTTGGGTTCCAGCAAGTGACGGGCTTTCTATCTGAAGGAATTAGAAGCTAATCTTGGGAACATACCACCTTACTTGGTTTACAATATTTGTACATATTTCTAAATGCAGAAAAACTAGATTAGGCTAAGGTGGGCTTTTACTGGGGCTTTCTCAGCTTTTAGAGAAGAACTGCACCACTGCAGACCAGAACAAACAAATCCATCAGCCCCAGCAGCTGCTGCAAGAGTGAACAACCACGGCTGGTTGATATAGATTCATAAAATGTAAGAACAGAAAGTAGAAATCTTCCTGCGTTTCTATTATATCAGGCATATGCTGACAATCACAATAAGGCCTGATTCTGCACCTGCACCAACAGAATGGGTGGGGGAAGGAGGAGTAGGAGTTTGATCCAACAAA